GTCACGGAGTCGATGTCACACGGGGCCCACCACTGTTTATTATTATTATTATTATTTATTACCATGTACCAGAAAAGACACAAAAAAACTACCGTGTCTGTTCGTTTAGAAATAAGAGAAACTGGTTGTGGAATTTAATAAATTATTATATTTCTTTCCCGAGCTATTTTATTCATTTTCCCAGATAATTAACGCAAATGATTTATTATTATTTGAATTGCTGAAATGCCACGTGGTACCTACCGGTGTCGGAGGATCAATTAGAAAGAACGTAGTTTTTTTTTTTCTTCTTATTTTATTATATTTTTAAAGTTTTCCTTTTCTTATTATAGCTTTAATCATTAATGTATCAATGTTACTTTCTCATATTCTCATTTTGACCCCTTGCTTTTTCTAAATTTGTGTTTCTACCCTTCACAATCTTATAATTAAAATATTAATCTCTAACACTGTAAATTCGTGTTCATGTCTGTATTTTAAAGAACGTAACAAATTTGACATTTGGAAACTTTTGATTTAAATAAAAGACATTTTCCATAGGAAAAAAAGTAATCTAACTTTGGTTCGTTTTTTAAAAGGATATATTTTGATTTATCATTTTTAATTAAACGTTAAGAAACGTTTGTCTTAGTCGTTCTAATCTAGGAAAATGACAAATTTGGTTGTTTACTAAAAGCTAACACAAGTTTCGAACCCAATAAAAAGCTTTTCAAAGTCACGAATGCATTTCGAGAAATTTACACGAATAAAACGTCATGTTAAAATATAACGTTAAAAAATAATATTTATCTTAAATAAATTGGCAAAGGAGCTCACAGTTCACCTCTTTTGTGGGCTACCATCTTTGCTAACACACCATTCACTGTTTGACTCCAAAACTCACCACCGGTAGATATTATCATTTTTGAGTTTTCTCTTTCAGGTTTCTCCTCATGATTTTTAAAACGCGTCTATTAGGAAGATGCTTCCACATTCTTATAAAAAGAATGTTTTGTTCCACTGTCCAACCGAGTGAGATATCAGAAATGCGTTGAGATGGACGTCAAATTTAGAGTAAGTCTATATGATCGTATCGATTAAGGGTAATTTGGGAAATGAAAAGAAAATGATGGGAAGGGGTTCACACGTGTGAGGATGTGAAATTTGGTTGCATTTGTTGGGAGGGCGTGAGCCCTAAGGAACACAGCCTCGCCCACACTATGCAATTTACAAGGATCCATGTGATTTTGCCCCCCTCTCTCTTTATTCACTTTTCTTCAACATTCAGTCACTTGCAAATCAATGTTCATCCATTCATTTATTTATTTATTTATTTATTTTATATTTGATAATAATTTTATTTTAATTTATAAATACTATTTTGACTTATATAATTTTTATCCTATTTATTAGAAGTACGCGTAATAAAAAGTTTGAATTATTTGCAATTGTATTTATAATAAAAAAGAGGAGATTTTGTCCATGATTTAATTAGGAATTTTGCAATGAAACTGTAATCTATGGGGGAAAAAGGGTTTAGGGTTAAAAGGGGAAAGGAAGTACAATCAGAAAGTTAATTTAATTTTTTAAACCAATCACCGAACGCCACTCATGAAAAGTGCTTAACAGGGGGCCCACCGTTAGAACCCAAATAATAATCACAATGATAATGATATTTTGAAAATTAATTAACTAATTGATTGATTTAGCCACGGTGGATTATACTCAGGGACTTCCCAATGGGTGAGCGCCACGTGGGGTAGACAAAACAATGGGTTTAGGGTTAGAATTGGGGATTGAAGTAGGGCCGTATTAGCGTTTGGTTCGACGAAAAAAAGAAACACACAAAAAAGTTAGGGCGAGAGTGGCGTAGCCTCCACCCCACGAGAACCCCAAAAAATAAAAAATAATAAATAATAATAATAATATAGCTACAAATTTATTTATATATGTTTTTTTTTTTTTTTTTTTTTTTGT